GAAATACCCGTTGTGACATTCAATTTAGAGAACTTACCTTGCCTACCAGTCATGTTCATACTTCTTCCATTAACAATCCGTGGAACTTCACAGTAATTTGTATCACACAGGAAAGCAGCAATTGCTGATTTGCCGAAGCTATTTAATTCTGATTGATGCCCAGAGAAGTGGCATTTCAATTATTGAAGCCAATTGTGGAAAAGACACGGATTCTGTTGCTCACACCGTTGAAAATTTATTTACAGTTTCATTAAGCACACATTTGTTGCGTGCAGCTTGCGCTCCAGAAAGTAGATGTCAGGGCCACTGTGATATTGATGTACAATGTTTCTTATTGGTGGAGACGACAACATAAATAGTCGGCAAATGCAAAGATGAAAAAGACATTGATTCTGGATTTGATCGTGGAATCAGACTGAAGGCCTATTTTTGAAGGTAAGTATTCCTAGGAAATTTAAATGTATGGATGGAGTTATGGACATTGTGGTTAAGCATGGTGAGCAACTATTGTGCATTTCTTGGAAATTTGCTGAAGTGGATTGAGGGATTAAAATTGGTGTTAAAATAGGTAAGTGTATGGTATTTATTTCATGATTTGCTATGGCAATGTGATAATATGAATTTCAATACAATTGTTGTGCATCATATACAGGAAACGGAGTTTCATAAACACGGGTGACGGACATGTTTTATATGACGAGTCCATTCGTCACTGAGAATAGTTTTGAGCTATTTGTGTAGAATATTACATTGGAGCAAGATCTTAAAGAAATTATTACACAAGTGTTACGCATATCTGGACATTTTGCATGAGATTGCCATTATAAATTATGCATTTAGAGCTGAAATTGTTGACTTTGAGTATATTAATGTTAAAAATATGGTAGGTTATGGAAAATTCGAAAATGATAGAAATCTGTCATATTATAGAAAGCTGATAGAAATATGGCATATTATAAAAAACTGTCATATGATATAAATCTGACATATTATAATATAAAATCATGTGCAAATCAAAACTGCTAATTTCTTCCATTTACAATATTCCGATGCATAAACTATATTACGTTCAAGTTAAGCTAGCATGGGTTACGTAAATATAACTGATTTAAGGTTTGGCCCGTTCAATAACTGGTTAAAACTAAAGCATTTCAATTTTATTCTTATAGTTAAATTAGTTATATGTAAAGTTTGTGGTGAATACATTGTTGGGTTGTGGATTTATTGGGTAGACGAATAAAGACTTAAATTTTCTAACATCTTATTACTTAGATTCTTCTATTCTCTGGCAACTCAAAGGTTTTCAAGATTTCGTAAACATAGTGGTGTATAAATACCTTTACTTTCATTTGCCAGCATGTGGTCTCCTGAATATCTTTGCGAAACATGGCCATTTCACCTGTTGTATTCTTGCAAATAACATCTGCAAGAAAATGACTTGATATAGAAAATTACATGTGTGAGAAACAATACAAGTCTAGAACTAAATTTGATACAAAAGGCAAATGTATACTATTTGATACAGACCTTAACATGTCGTATTGGCTGAGACACCAAGACATGCATACTTTTAGAGTCAAGGGACATGATCAAAATGTCAAGTTAATGCCTTAATAACATACCAGATCAGACCATTGCTTACAGGTGCGTGATAAAGTCGTCTTCTTTTTAACTTCGATTAGGTCCGGCTTCTGTCCTTTGGTCAGTTTGGTAGATAACGTAATAAATAGATATGGTGTTTTTGCATGTTATGAACCATTTAAAATTATTCTTTATAACAAGGTCAGTAAATATGAGTGAGGTTTCATCCATTTTATTTTAATATGCAGCTGCCTTTAACAAACAAAACATGACCACCACTGCCCATAACATTTAAGACTTGGAAAGCAACACTATTCACATCTTGTTGGACGAGAACTACTCTTCTATTAAATGTATTGCCTGGGGCTTGTGTCAGCAAGTAACACATCTATGTGAATGAAAACATTCGATTTTTGGGAATCCTGGCTTGAACATTTACTTTATCGCTTTTTTGCCTGTGAGATTTACAATGGCTTTTCATCACGACAATCCTCCTCGTTGTTATTGTTACTAATGAGTATGTAATGTGTTGTATTAGTATGAATAATACTGGTCATTATATCTCTTCTTCTTCTTCTTCTTCTTCTTCTTCTTCTTCTTCTTCTTCTTCTTCTTCTTCTTCTTCTTCTTCTTCTTCTTCTTCTTCTTCTTCTTCTTCTTCTTCTTCTTCTTCTTCTTCTTCTTCTTCTTCTTCTTCTTCTTCTTCTTCTTCTTCTTCTTCTTCTTCTTCTTCTTCTTCTTCTTCTTCTTCTTCTTCTTCTTCTTCTTCTTCTTCTTCTTCTTCTTCTTCTTCTTCTTCTTCTTCTTCTTCTTTTACTGATACTACTACTACAACTACTACTACTACTATTGCTACTTACATCATTGTTTTGAATGATAGGATATCTCCTTCTCCCTCTAATTCTGATTAGTTTTTTCCATAGTAAGTATCCGAAAATTAGATAATTGTCCCATGTATATTGAAAGACTATGCCCTTTTGCGTACATATAGAAGACGAGTTTCACTTAGCTATTAAAAGTCTCATGTAAGATAATTTGAGAAATGTATATTTACCTTCATACACTCATAGTTTTATAACTTGATGCAGGGACTCAATACTAATATTAATATCCAACACAAATGTGCTCTTTATCTTGAAAAATCTCTCAAGTTATAGAGTCGATGTCTTAATCATAGAATTGTTATGATTCGTGGTATTACAGTAATTCTTCATATTTGTATGTAATCTGGGGCTGTTGACTACTTTAAAGAGGAATAATGATTATTATTATATTATATTATATTATATTATATTATATTATATTATATTATATTATATTATATTATATTATATTATATTATATTATATTATATTATATTATGTTATGTTATGTTATGTTATGTTATGTTATGTTATGTTATGTTATGTTATGTTATGTTATGTTATGTTATGTTATGTTATGTTATGTTATGTTGTGTTGTGTTGTGTTGTGTTGTGTTGTGTTGTGTTGTGTTGTGTTGTGTTGTGTTGTGTTGTGTTGTGTTGTGTTGTGTTGTGTTGTGTTGTGTTGTGTTGTGTTGTGTTGTGTTGTGTTGTGTTGTGTTGTGTTGTGTTGTATTACATTACATTACATTACATTACATTACATTACATTACATTACATTACATTACATTACATTACATTACATTATATTATATTATATTATATTATATTATATTATATTATATTATATTATATTATATTATATTATATTATATTATATTATATTATATTATATTATATTATATTATATTATATTATATTATATTATATTATATTATATTATAATATATCATATCATATCATATCATATCATATCATATCATATCATATCATATCATATCATATCATATCATATCATATCATATTATATTATATTATATTATATTATATTATATTATATTATATTATATTATATTATATTATATTATATTATATTATATTATATTATATTATATTATATTATATTATATTATATTATATTATATTAAGTGTTTTAGAGACATGTATCCACATACAGCAATTTATCAATTTAAAGGACCAAGAACATTGTTTTAAAAAATCATTTCCGCAGGAATCTATGCATAACTGGTGTTTTGAATAATTGATTAGTGCTGTTAGATCTGCTTACCAGATTCCTATCCTAGAGTTTACAAAGCGCTTTAATTAGAAAAGTTTCAAAGGTAATCGTGTAAATAATTTATCATTGGTTTACACCATTAGGACTTGATTCAACACGCATGAATTAAGTATATAATGATAACTCAAGTCGAAATCTCCTGTGATCTAACTGAACAGAAATAAACATGTTTTTCTATATATTATGTATTGATGGTTATTCTAAAATGCTCAGCACTGGTCGCTGTTCTAGGGTGCAAGTTTTTGTTGCTACTGCACAATGAAATAAAATGTTAGGAAGATTCATTTATGTCTCTAAATTTACTTTCTAATGTTGTGTCATCAACAGCAAATACATCATAGACTTTTGCATAGTATTAATGATTGTTGTAGCCATAAAACGATTCTTTACTGCTTCTTGAATCTACAACTGAAAATGTAGCAATGTGTAATGGAAAAAAAGTGACGTAATTAGGAGTGTCAATTATTGGTAAAAGGCCGCGTCGATATAGCAGTGGAAATAATAATTGTAGCAACTAAATCCGTTTTCATAAAGAGGCTCTATTACAGAAAAATATAGATTTTTTAATTAGATAAGTAAAGGTATCGGAATCTACGGCACAACCTTTTTTATGGGCTGAAATTGTTGTGGTTTCAGAAAATATAATTTTTTAAACAATTCATTGAAATCACGAAATCTTTGAAATTGGTACCTAATGGAAAACAATAATTTCCCTCGAATTAATGAGAACAAAATATGGATAATTCTGTACACAGATTCACATCAAGGATATTAACTGTCATCTATTTGATGCTGCACATATTTCAATGCTTGCGAAATGGAACATGTAGATTAGGAGAGCAGAATTAACATTACATGCTTTTATCGATTGTAAACACATTTGATGTCGATATAATAATAAGGTTTGGGTTTTTGTATTATTAAAACTTCCTCTGTGTTGAATAGACAATTCTCTTTCATAACTACTTAATTTTTTTACAGGTTTTGTAGCAGAGAATATGAGCATATGTCTAGGTCGTGAGTGTGTGTGTTTGTGTGTGTGTTTCTTGTGTGTGTTTCAGTCATGTTGCTACGATGTTTGCAGTGTGGCAGTTTATAATGATACCATATATGCGGCAGTTTATAATGATACCATATAGCATCACGTCCCACCCAGTCACATTCTTCTGACACCAGGCCGACCAGTCACAACACTAACCTCTAAATGCTAAGCGCATTGCGAGGCAGTTGTTGGTACCATTTTAAAAAGTCTTCGGTATGATTCGGCCGGGGTTCAAACCCGAGACCTGCAGCATCCCAGACGGACGTTCTAACCACTAGGCCATCGGAACGGTTTGTTTATTGCTAAATATATACAATTTTCTATCAGTTATCCGAAAAAACAACGTGCAACAGCAATGATCTTAGACCCTGATCTGTGCCTGCAGATCAGGGTCTATATTGTTTGTTCTACTGATTTGTCCTAACAAACTACATAGACACAGATCTGACAGCTCATTATGTGACGGCATATATCTGGGTCTATTCAGTTTACAGTTAGATCCAAGTTGTAGGTGAGTATATGCAATGCGGTTCCTGATAAGATAGGACATACCACCGCGAAACAAAAAACAAAATGAAATTTCCGAAAGAATGTAACAACTAAGAAGTACCATAACAATTAGATTATTTATTCCGTACTGAGGAATATCAAATTATTATAATAAAAAATAACTAAATAAACATAAAGCAAAATTGGATTAGTTGGAGTATGACTGAGACTACAAAGCTTTAACAATGGCAAACATTTTAAGTCTACAATGCTTTTACTAAACATTTGTGCATCAACAATATTAGTCATTTTTGTCAAAGTCTCTTAGCAATCTCTTATGAAGAGTTAGTTTAAGTGGATGTTTTTTATCTGACGATTTTATGTAGCATGTTAGTAACTTGTATAGATACTTCCGGCATATTTGTCTTCAAGATTATATTTTATATAATGTTTGGCCATATAAAGGTACTTCTGTCATGTAGGACCCAATGTACAGCATACTGAACAAAATCCAAAGGGAAAAAAATACATTAATTGGACTTCTAGCTCAAATGATAAATTGCTTTCTGGAAAATTCAAACAATCCAACATAAACCTGCGTATTAAAAAGGCACAAAAGAATAATCGCTCTGTCCTATTATATTTTTTTTTCAAAAAATAGACAATTCTGTCAAGAGCAGCCATTTGGCAAATGAGTTATTGGTTCAGTGTTCATACATTTTTTTAAATAGACAGACAATCGTGCAGATAGTCAGACAAATATAATTACAACGAATATATTCTGCTGAATCATAATCACACATGCTGGTTTTTTCCATCCTCTATTCTTTTCTTCATGTTGCATATGCTTTCATTACTTATAATGGTTACTTTATCTGGTTACTTGCTTAATTCTTATAAGTTTATTATTATGTTCATTAACTTCTCTACGTACCTGATCAAGTACCATTGTATTTTAACAAGCCTTTACAAATTATCGATTTGCATAACCAAATAAATTAATATCTGAATTACAAATCAAGCAGCAACCATCTACTTGAATAATCACTCATTTCACCAACCCATTTACAGACAGGCAGACGAGTGGACGAAGCTACCGATTAACAAAATAACGTACTGTGATATTATATTGTTACAGGGCATGATTTTAATTTTTTATTACAACGGCTCAGATGTACATTGTTCTGTTCTTCCAGACAAAACTATAAAATAGTTCCTAATTCAATTATAGCCAAAACCAGTCGGAAAAATTTTAAAACAATAAATAAATCAATACGTCTTCAGCACTGTGATATACTATGCATAATACTTGTTGATAATTTGATATATTTTTCATTTAAATTGAGTTATCAAGCTACGAATATGACTTACATCTGTTTAATTACATTATTTCTCATCACACAGCTTAACAAGTACACACATACATACACACAGATATATATATATATATAAATATATATATATTTATATATATATATATATATATATATATATATATATATATATATATATATATATTGAAAGCAAAAGAATTAACAGCGCTAATTTTTGCGCAACATTGGTTTTAGCTACGTCCAATTCGTGGTGAATTGTAGTCATGTTTCTATCGGAATATATATGAAATGTGTCACAAAATGTATTTCTTAAACCTCAATAAGACACAGTATGATAAGCGTGTCCCAAAATGTATTCCTTAAATCTCATTAAAACACAATATGATAAGCGTGTCGCAAATTGAATTTCATTAACCTTATTAAGGCATAGTATGATAAGCGTGTCGCAAAATTAATTCCATAAACCTCATTAAGGCATATTATGATATTCGTGTCGCGAAATGAATTAAGAAAACCTCCTTAAGACATAGTATGATAAGCGTGTCGCAAAATAAATTAAATATGAATTAAATATACCTCATTAAGAGCACATTATGATAGCCTGTCGCATAATGATTTAATAAACCTCATTAAAACATATTATGTCGCAAATTGAATCTCATGAACCTCATTAAGACATATTATGATAAGCGTGTCGCAAAATGAATTCCATAAACCTCATTAAGACTTATTATGAAAAGCGTGTCGCAAAATTATTTCCATAAACCACACTAAGCATGTTATGATAAGCGTGTCGCAAAATTATTTCCATAAACCACACTAAGCATATTATGATAAGCGTATCGCAAAATGAATCCCATAAACCTCATTAAGACTTATTAGGAAAAGCGTGTCGCAAAATTATTTCCATAAACCACACTAAGCATGTTATGATAAGCGTGTCGCAAAATTATTTCCATAAACCACACTAAGCATATTATGATAAGCGTATCGCAAAATGAATCCCATAAACCTCATTAAGACTTATTATGAAAAGCGTGTCGCAAAATTATTTCCATAAACCACACTAAGCATGTTATGATAAGCGTGTCGCAAAATGAATCGCATAAACCTCAGAAAGACAAACTCTCAAGTGCATGCTCTATATTGGCAACCTATTTAGCTTACTAATTAAAGTACTTATAATATGGAAAACTATGAAACATATGTATGATTACGTATTAAATACATCTGTTCAAACTATGAAAACTATATCTACTGGTTCGCACGCACGGAAGCAACCGAAATAACAACTTTCTCCAGGTAGTAGCTGGCACTTATCAACATGTTTACCATCTGTGGGTGCATAATGTGTTTTACAAATTATTAGCCTGTGTGAGACTTTCATGTATTGTACTTATGCAATGAATACATGCTTAACATAAGTAGGTACTTAAAAGTTTTCTACATATGTGATAAACACGTTTTGCATGTGTGCATTTAAATGCGTTATACATGCGTGATAAACAGATTTTTAACATCTGTGTATTAAAATATGTTCTACATATATGATGAACACATGTGTAACATCTGTGTAGCTGTTTTCTACATATGTGATAAATACATGCTGAGTATGTTTAAGAATTTAAATGTGTTTTACATATGTAATAATCAAATGTTTAGTATTATGGGAACATCTTTACTTTACATTGGCTGTATACCCTTTTTGCATGTGCGTCTACGTTGGTCAGATATGTAGGTATGTTAAAATGCAATAAACAATTAACCAACGCAAATGATAATTAGCAAAATAATAGTTTAAATCTTAGTTTGAAATGATTCATTTGATTTTCTCACTAAAAATAACAATAACCAACTAAATTGAATATACCCATCGTTCATCTCATTCATAAACTAGGATCAGTTTCCCGAAAAGTTTGCTTAAAATGTTACAAAGGTTGAGATTGGAGAACGGTTGCTGCCATATTGATAAAAGTATATAATTAAAGATTTTTTTATCGGAAGTCTCAAGCAAGTTATCCCACCCAAAAGTTAACCATATATCTTGCAACGGTTGTGTATGCATAAAGCGATATTTAAGGAAAACAAAACCAACAAATTAACAGAGCTATATATGTAGTGGGTAAAAGATAAATGTAATTAATGAAACAATATATAAATCATATATTAATGGAATTAAGGAAGGCTTTGTAACGAATGGCATAAATGAAAGTGATTTTTATCGCACATCTTCTCAATAGTATCCTCCATCAAAACTCTCCATTTCTACAACTGTTTTTTGCCATTTCATGACGTTTCTAAATTGAAACGCTGAAATACTTGCGGTATTATTTTCCAGTATGATTATTTTCAGATTATATAGGAAACAGTGGAAGTATTGTGTTTTCATATAAACTATTACCAAAAGATTTCTCTCATCATGATCAACAAATGCATGGAGTTGCTAGCAAGCATGATTACGTTTGATCGGGTTGAATACTATATAATATATTCAAGTCGAAAGACTAGACTCTGCACACCATGTTTACCTGAAAACTTAAATGGGCATTGCTCAGATGCCATAAACAGACTTCAAAACTTTAATTGATGGACATTTTGTATTTAAAACGTTAAAAGTTGGTTAAATATGGAAGCGTGTGAAGCGTGCCCAAACATTAATTAAATTTTGGTATGCAAACAATTTTATAAATGAAAACCTCCAGGGAAAGTGAAGAAGTGAAGCAGTGTTATTTCTAATTTAATTCGCTGCAGTGCTTGATGATATCCATTGTATGGAATATGACATTTTTCCAATGCACACATAAATCGATACACATACAGTTACTACTTTTTCCTGCAGCTGTTGCATTTAGAACGATCAGAGATCAGATCCTATTTTAGAAAAATAAACTGAAAATGTTTTAACCATACCTAATGTCGTACAATGTTCTTTGACAGAACATATACGCAAGGATAAAACAGATTAAATAAACTAGAGTCGACACTTAATTGATTAAATATTAAGCCACAATAAAAATAAAATTGAATTTTTTGGACTTTAAAGCAACGTATTCTGTGTTACCGTTCCTACCATTAATTCAACGGATGAAAGGAAAATTTAAAGCTTATTACGAAAATTATTGAGAGCCATTAGGCAAAACAAAAATGTGTTCCCGGTCGTCCGACCGTCAATGGTTTTTTGTTGCCGACAAAGCACTTCTTTCCCCAGGGTATAAGTTTTGCGCAGTACTATTTTTTAAAAAATACAACATAAAAGATATATATTTACCCGAATTTTAAAGCCAGCGCAATAAGAAACGCACATATATTTTGCCTCTTCAAATGTATGTTCTTTCATGTCTCCTCATTTTCAATACCTCATCTTGTTCGCACTGATTTGTGATTTTTACTAAACACTCCTTAATCTCCATAAAGCATTCTTTTAGGATTAAGATTGATCATGATAGGGCCATTTTTGTGCAGAAGA